TTACAGATGATTTCTCAGCAGAAGCATTATAGGACAAAAGGCAGAAGAGAATGGGGTGATATATTTAACTGCTGAAAGAACAAAACCTGCTAACCAATAATACTATACCCAGCACAGCTATTCTTCAAAAATGAAGGAGAAATACAGTCTCTCCTAGACAAGCTAAAACTAAGGAAATTTGTCATCACTAGGTCAACGCTGTAAGAAATGTTTAAGTAAGGCTTAATCTGAAAAAGAGAAAGGATATCTACCATCATGAAAACACAAGAAAGTATAAAACTCAATGTTAAAACAGATACACAAATGAGAAAGGAAAAGAGTCAAATAATACCTTTGTAGAAAACCCCCAAACAGCAATGATATGCAGTGAGAGGAAGAAAGGAACCATGAATATACAAAACAACCAGACAATGATTAACAAAATGACGGAAATAAGTCATTAGTTGTGGATAATAACCTTGAACGTAAACAGATTATATTTTCTACGTAAAAGACAGACTGGCTGAATGAATTTTTTTTTTTAATGGCCCAATTATACACTGTCTACAAGAAACTCACTTAGCCAGTACAGACATACAGACTGAAAGTGAGAGGAAGAAAAAAGATACTCCATACAAATGAAAACCAAAAGCAAGGAGAAGTAGCTATCTTTATTTCAGGTAAGATAAAACAGTCTTTAAGTAACTATCTTTATTCCAGATAAAAAAAGTCTTATAGTCATTTTAAAAACTACAAAAAGAGATAAAGAAGGTCATTGTATAATAATAAAGGGATCAACTCAACAAGAGACTATAACAACTCTAACTATGTATACACCCAACACTGGAGCATCCAGATATGTAACATAGATATTACTGGATCTAAAAGGAGGAAGAGAGAAACACTAATATAGTAATAGTTGGAAATTTTAACATCCTGATCTTTGTAGTAGACAGATCATTGACATAAAATCAGCAAAGAAACATTAGATTTAAGTTACACTTTAGACTTAATGGGCCTAATAAACATGTATAGAACATGTTATCCAACAGCTGCAGAATACACATTCTCATCAGCACATGAAACATTCTTTATGACAGACCACACGATAGGCCACAAAACAAGTCTCAACAAATTTTTAAAAAGTGTAATCATATCAAGTATTTTCTTAGGGCACTGTGGGAAAAATAAAACTAGAAATCAATAAGAAGAGAAACTTTGGAAAGTGTACAAATAGATGGAAATTAAGCAATGTGTTCCTGAGCTACCACTGGGTGGATGAAGAAATAAATAACAAATTCTTGAAACAAATGAAAATGGGAACAATATACCAAAACCTATGGGATACAGAAAAAGCAGTGCTAAAAGGGAAGTCTGTAGCAATGAACATCTACCTTAAAAAGTAGAAAGATTTTTAAACAACCTACTAACGCACCTCAAGGAATTAAAAAAGCAAAAACAAATAAAAACCCTTGAACTAGTAGAAAGAAAGAAATAATAAAATCAGAGCAGAATTAAATGAAATACTGACTAAAAACAAAAACAAAGGATTAACAAAATAAAAAAAATGCTTTTTGGTAAAGATAAAAAAGAGAGAGAGAGAGAGAAAGTGCTGGCTAGACTAACCAAGAAAAAGAAAGAATGCCCAAATAAATAAGATCAGAAACTAAAAAACAGACATTACAATGGATACCACAGAAATACAAAGGATGATTAGAAATTATGAATAGGTATATGCTAACAAACTGGAAAATCTAAAGAAAAGGA